AAAATCAGCCGCTTTTCTGGAAAAACTTGCCAGCTGTCTACACTGGCCGCTTGAATTTCCGCAAAAGCACTGACTTCCTAGTGCCTGAAATCAGGGCTTCTCGTGGAAATACTATGCTGCTCCTGTTCGGGCAAAAGTCCCTTTTGCGCAAAACTTTTGCACAAAAAGGCCAGTGTAGCCAGCTGGGATTTGTTTTGCGTAAAAAAGCCCCGATCGCGAAAATGGTGATCGGGGCTTTTTTTGCGCAAAAGCGCATCTAGATTGGCCACGGATGCTTTTCCGCAAAAGCACTTTTTGCAGAAAAGCGTCGGTGCCAATCTAGACGCTCTTTTCCGAAAACTTTTCCGTTAAAAGCATTTCCGGAAAATCATGCCTGTCTAGACGTAGCCAAAGTGAAAATGTTTTGTTAGTCTTGAAAGTGCTACTCGACTGTTTTGTTGTTTAAGTTTTTCCTGTTACAGACTAACTCAGCCACCCCTCTGACGCTTATAAAACGACGTTCTGTACGACACCACTCCTTTCTGCCTCCCTGTTTCCTTTCTCCTTTGGCCAGGTGGGCAGGCAGAAGTGTTGGTGAAAATAGATCAGCTGGTGCTGGAGAATCAGAGCCTCCATTCTAAAGGAGTTGGCATTACTGAAGTGCTTCTCGCGCAAATATGGCCATTCTCACGCAAGGATCCACAAAGCATCCACGGTTTGTCTAAACTACATGGCTCCATCGATAGAGCCATGTAGATGAGGCTGATCGGCAAAGGGAAACGAAGCCGCGATTTAAATAATCGCGGCTTCATTTAAATTTAAATGGCTGCTGCGCTGAGCCGACAAACAGCTGATCAGCTGTTTGTCGGCTCAGCGCAGCAGCCATTTAAATTTAAATGAAGCCGCGATTATTTAAATCGCGGCTTCGTTTCCCTTTGCCGATCAGCCTCATCTACATGGCTCTATCGATGGAGCCATGTAGTTTAGACAAACCGTGGATGCTTTGTGGATCCTTGCGTGAGAATGGCCATATTTGCGCGAGAAGCACTTCAGTAATGCCAACTCCTTTAGAATGGAGGCTCTGATTCTCCAGCACCAGCTGATCTATTTTCACCAACACTTCTGCCTGCCCACCTGGCCAAAGGAGAAAGGAAACAGGGAGGCAGAAAGGAGTGGTGTCGTACAGAACGTCGTTTTATAAGCGTCAGAGGGGTGGCTGAGTTAGTCTGTAACAGGAAAAACTTAAACAACAAAACAGTCGAGTAGCACTTTCAAGACTAACAAAACATTTTCACTTTGGCTACGTCTAGACAGGCATGATTTTCCGGAAATGCTTTTAACGGAAAAGTTTTCGGAAAAGAGCGTCTAGATTGGCACCGACGCTTTTCTGCAAAAAGTGCTTTTGCGGAAAAGCATCCGTGGCCAATCTAGATGCGCTTTTGCGCAAAAAAAGCCCCGATCACCATTTTCGCGATCGGGGCTTTTTTACGCAAAACAAATCCCAGCTGGCTACACTGGCCTTTTTGTGCAAAAGTTTTGCGCAAAAGGGACTTTTGCCCGAACAGGAGCAGCATAGTATTTCCACGAGAAGCCCTGATTTCAGGCACTAGGAAGTCAGTGCTTTTGCGGAAATTCAAGCGGCCAGTGTAGACAGCTGGCAAGTTTTTCCAGAAAAGCGGCTGATTTT